CAATCTCATTATTATTTATCACCTGATCCACGGTCCGTACCACTAGATACCCTGAGATCATTTGAGATCTCATCAACACTTCTTCTTTGTGGACTTTGTACTGAGTCAACACCTTCTAGCACCTTTGGCCACCACTTAGTGGCCTATGTATTTGCACCTTGTCACTTTATATTTGTATCTGTATTTATTTTGACATTGTGGATTTTACTAGCGCTGCACCCCCTCTTTTTATATGTGTCTTTGAAGGTTTATTGGTACCTTTTTGGTGTACAGCTGCTAATGCATTTGGTATCATTTTAGCGCTCGCTTATTCTTTTTGCATTTACCTCTTCAGGGTGGCCTAGCCCACCTCCACCTCTTCAGGGTGGCCTAGCCCACCTCCACCTCTTCAGGGTGGCCTAGCCCACCTCCCACCTCCACTGAGCTATTGTGTTCTGAAAGGGGGACGGCCCCCCCGCCAGAAAACACCAGTCGGGGCTTTCAGCCTTTGGCTGAGAACGCTGATTGGATGCCGATCGCCAGACCATTTTCAGTCATGCCCTTTCGACAGAAGCTGGCCAGCTGCCGTACACATGGGCCAAATGTCAGCCAGTGCCGCCCAATATTTGGCCAGTGCCAACAACTCAACTGACAAGTCAACAAAAGGTAAAGAACTGGTGATCTAGAAAGACAGAGAGAAGCTTGGTGCGCCCATGAGACACTTACCGCTGGCCTGGGACAGACGGGCAGAACTGCGCGTTTTGCTACGGTAACCGGGTAAGTTCAAAAGGACATCGAGGCCGGAGTTATTGAAGCTATCGTCTGATGATGTACGCTCAGGTTTCACCAGAGATTCCTGGGACGGCAGGCTAGTGATAGCTGGGGCAGAGACAGCTGATTGCGGTCTACCGATTCGGCGTGTGCTGCTAGGCTGGTTGAGTGCCTGCAGAGAAATACCAGAGCGCAGGCTGTAGAATGAGGTGTTGGCGCTCTCTGGCTCTGCCTCTACTTCTTCCTTTGTTCGCTGTGGTAAAGACAGACAAGAGATTGGATAGACCAGGGGTCAGCAATGTAGGGCACAAGGGTTTCGGCACACACGCAGGAGCTGTACTTTAAAGCAGTGGTCTCCAAACTGCAGCCCTTTGCTTACTTTTATCTGGCCCTTGGGACACTATTCCTTCCACTGATACCAACAAAGGAAAATCACTCCCCTTCACATTGCGCCAATGATGGGGCACAATTCCTCCCAATGACCCCAATGAAGGGGCACAATTCCTCCCAATGACCCCGATCATGGGGCACAATGCCTCCCAATGACCCCAACGACGGGGCACAATTCCTCCCAATGACCCAAACGACGGGGCACGATTCCTCCCAATGACCCCAACGATGGGGCACGATTCCTCCCAATGACCCCAACGATGGGGCACGATTCCTCCCAATGACCCCAACGATGGGGCACGATTCCTCCCAATGACCCCAACGATGGGGCACGATTCCTTCCAATGACCCCAACGATGGGGCACGATTCCTTCGAATGACCCCAACGATGGGGCACGATTCCTCCCAATGAACCCAACGATGGGGCACGATTCCTCCCGACGACTCCAACGATGGGGCACGATTCCTCCCGATGACCCCAACGATGGGGCACGATTCCTCCCAATGACCCCAACGATGGGGCACGATTCCTCCCAATGACCCCAACGATGGGGCACAATTCCTCCCAACGATGGGGCACAATTCCTCCCACTGCCCCAGAGATGGGCCAAATTCCTTCAATGACCCAAACGATGGGGCACAACTCCTCCCAATGACTCCAACAATAGGGCACAAAGCCTCCCACTGCCCCAGAGATGGGCAAATTTCTTCCAATGACCCCAACGATGGGGCATGATTCCTCCCAATGACCCCAACGATGGGGCATGATTCCTCCTAATGACCCCAACGATGGGGCACAATTCCTCCCAATGACCCCAACGATGAAGCATGATTCCTCCCAATGACCCCAACAATGAAGCATGATTCCTCCCAATGACCCCAATGATGGGGCACGATTCCTCCCAATGACCCCAACAATGGGGCACAATTCCTCCCAATCACCCCAACAATAGGGCACAATTCCTCCCACTGCCCCAGAGATGGGCCAAATTCCTTCAAGGACCCCAACGATGGGGCACAACTCCTCCCAATGACCCCAACAATGGGGCACAACTCCTCCCACTGCCCCAGAGATGGGCAAATTTCTTCCAATGACCCCAACGATGGGGCACAATCCCTCCCAATGACCCTAAAGATGGGGCACAATTCCACCCAATGCCCTAATTATGGTCCAAATTCCTTCCCATGACACCAACAATGGGGCCCGATGACACCAATGATGGGGGCACATTTCCTCCCACTAACACCAAAGACAGGGCATTGTTTATTCCCACTAGATCTTTTTTACTCCCAACGAGCACAGTCTGGCCCTCCTTGGGTCTGAAGGACACTAAACTGGCCATTTGCTTAGAAGCCTTGGAGACTCCTGCTTTAAATAATAGGGAGGCTCAGAAGCCAGGGCAAAGTTTGACTTCCACATATGACTAGCTGCCTTGATCTCTGGATCTGCTAGAAATGCAAATGACAAGTTCACTTTAAATACCCACTCAGTCACAGTCTGATCCAGATGAACAGTATAGAGTCTCTTCTGCTCACCTTGGTCATGGTAATGTTGATGACTTGGGTGGTCCGTCTTCGGGCAGAGCGGGTCTTCTTGCTGGAATCCAAAGAGAAGTCCCCTATGGAGCCCACGCTGCTGTCCAGCTTGGACTGTGTGCGGGTGGTGGGGATGGGCGTGAAGTACAGGCTCTCCAATGACTCCACCTTTTTGGGAAGGCGGTTAGAGGCCAGGGGTTCTGGACTGTCTGGCTGGGCAGCAGAAGATGATGGTTCCCGATGGGCCCGCCCATTCTTTCTGCAAGAAGACATTCTGATGAGGGCACAAACATGAAAAGGTCAGGCAATGATCTGTCATATAGCAGACAACAGTGATACAACCTGATTTCAACCAGATTTGGAAACTGCACATCAAATATCAAACCAAAGGACAGTGTTTCAGTGTTTGGAAGACAATGGAGCCTAACATCTGATGGCTTTTAAAACTTCCTAGGGGTTCAGGTGACAAAACTTCTTTAGTTCCTGTAGATTCCTGGTAAATAAATCCCCCAAATTACAGTAACAAGATCAATTTCAATATTCAGAGCACTCCTCGCAACAAAACTCCTCCAGTTGACATATTTCAGTTCAGGAAGTTTAGATGTAATGTCTACGGTCAACGTATTCATGTGATATGCAAGCCAGGAAGACCGCGCCATTGGGCTTCCTAAGAGCCAGCGACTAGCACCCAACAGTAACTCAAACCATCGAAATGCAGAAAGGTGCCACAAAACTGGCTGAAAAAAATCTAAAAGAACTTTAATTGTTGGTAAGAAAAGTCATATAAAACAGGTAATGTGTTTCAGGGGGGGCCTCTTCTAAAGATGATGCACAAGAAAGCCTTCAAACAGTTTGCTGAAGACAAGCAGACTAAGGACATGGATTACTGGAACATGTCCTGTGGTCTGATGACACCAAGATCAACTGAATTGGTTCAGATGGTGTCAATTGTGTGAGGTGAGGAGTACAAAGACAAGTGTGTCTTGCCTACAGTCAAGCATGGTGGTGGGAGTGTCATGGTCTGGGGCTGCATGGTGGTGGGAGTGTCATGGTCTGGGGCCACATGGTGGTGGGAGTGTCATGGTCTGGGGCCCCATGGTGGTGGGAGTGTCATGGTCGGGGGCTGCCTGAGTGCTGCTGGCACTGGGGAACTACAGTTCATTGAGGGAACCATGAATGCCAACATGTACTGTGTCATACTGAAGCAGAGCATGATCCCCTCCCTTCGGAGACTGGGCCACAGGGCAGTATTCCAACATAACGACCCCAAACACACCTCCAAGATGACCACTGCCTTGCTAAAGAAGCTGAGGGACTGGCCAAGCATGTCTCCAGACCTAAACCCTATTGAGCATCTGTGGGGCATCCTCAAACGGAAGGTGGAGGAGCACAAGGTCTCTAACATCCACCAGCTCCGTGATGTTGTCATGGAGAAGTGTAAGACGGAAGGTGGAGGAGAGCAAGGTCTCTAACATCTACCTTCACAAGCTCTGTGATGTCGTCATGGAAGAGGACTCCAGTGGCAACCTGTGAAGCTCTGGTGGACTCCATGACCAAGACGGTTAAGGCAGTGCTGGAAAATAATGGCGGCCACACAAAATATTGACACTTTGGGCCCAATTTGGACCTTGTCACTTAGGGGTGGAGTCACCTTTGTTGCCAGCGGTTTAGACATTAATGGCGGTGTGTTGAGTTATTTTGAGGGGACAGCATTTTTACATGTTATACAAGCTGTACACTGACTACGTCACATTGTAGCAAAGTGTCATTTCTTCAGTGTTGTCACATGAAAAGAGAATCAAATATTGACAATGTGAGGGGTGGACTCATTTCTGGGAGATACAGTATATTAGAACCAGTATAGAACTCTTTGTATGGAGGAACAACTTCACAGCAGTTGCCGAGTAGCAATAGAGCGGTAGTCGCCATCCAAGTTTTATCCTGTGCTGAGTCCTGATGAAGGGGGAAGTCATGTGGCCCCTGAAATGCGTTGGCTAATTTCATAAAACTATATTTGATATACAAATATATTGGATTTTTTCATCCGGTTTTGGTCTGGTGCTCCTCTTTGTATGTCTATGTAGTGCCTATAGGAAAGCAACAGGTGACAACACAACAGATGCCACATCTACAAACTTCCAAAGAAAACAAGAAACTTCGACGAGCTGGAACTTATTACCACCCCCCAAAGTCCTGATCACCTCACTGAGGCCAAACACTACCAAGTTGCGCTGGGGGAGACTAAGCTAACTTTAACCCATTAGATATAAACCAACACCCTCATAAATGCAAAATGCTGACAGCAGCCGATCACGCAGTCACCTTGTGGAGTTCATGGGGTTTTCATCCTCATCACTCATCTCCAGACTGTCGGTACTGACATCGGCACGACTTCGGGTCACGCGTGTGGGAACTCGTGTTTCCCGGCTCTTCAAGGCATCGGTGGCCACCTGGAACTTGCCCAACTCTCTCAGCTGCCGGTCTGCATACTCCACCTACACAATGGTTTAAAGCAATTATAGCCGTGACAGTTTTTTTTTTTTTTTTTTTTTTTAAACATCTTTTCCATCTCCTGATCTGTTTTTTTTTTTTTTGTCTGGCTACTTTACAATTCAGTATTAAAAGTCTCAATTTTAAACATTCGTATGCTATAGCAGTGTTTTTCAACCTTTTTTGTGCAAAGGCACACTTTTTTTCATGAAAAAAATCACGAGGCACACCACCATTAGAAAATGTTAAAAAAATTTATTGAAAAACTTTTTGACTTGAGGGCCGCAATGGGTTCATATATTGGACCCGGGGGCCGGACCAAGAGTAGATGAATGATGTGTATGTGTCATCCATAGTAAGTATAGTAATATTCCCCCATACTAAGCATAGTAATTAATCCCCCATATAGTAATTCATCCCCCATATAGTAATTCATCCCCCATATAGTAATTCATCCCCATATAGTAATTCATCCCCCATAGTAATTCATCCCCCATAGTAATTCACCCCCCATATAGTAATTCATCCCCCATATAGTAATTCATCCCCATATAGTAATTCATCCCCCATAGTAATTCATCCCCCATAGTAATTCACCCCCCATATAGTAATTCATCCCCCATAGTAATAGTAATTCATCCCCCATAGTAATTCATCCCCACTATAGTAATTCATCCCCCATAGTAATTCATCCCCCATATTAAGTCCCCAAGCCCCCCGTGTCAATTCACTTACCTTTGCTCCACGCGTTCCTCTCGCCGTTCCGGTGTAGCATGAAAATCTGTCTCCTATGAGGATCTGTCCCCCTCGACGTATCTGCGCATGTGCCAGTTTCAGGCATTAGCAGCCGATCGGCGATCTCCGGCACATGCGCAGATACGTCGAGGGGGACAGATCATCCTGACAGTATCACGCTCCACGGGCCGGATTAAAAGGTCTGCCGGGCCGTATACAGCCCGCGGGCCGTAGTTTGCCCATTGCTGTTCTAATGATTGGTCTATTTGTGAGCCGAGGCCACATGTTACGGATGAAATTGCAATTTTTCCCACGGCACACCAGACAATATCTCACGGCACACTAGTGTGCCGCGGCACAGTGGTTGAAAAACGCTGTGCTATAGAAAGACAGCAATACAGAATGATCAGGGCCGTCGATGGAGATCTGTACCGGGCCAATTGGGTCAGCATGGGAGCCTGGCAAGAGCGGCCTATGGACAGCTCCACTGAGACCTATCGGGTAAGCTCAACCCATCTATAGCAGAGCCTGCTAATGTCACAACTCCACCAATCAGCTGCCACTCTGAGATGTTCCCCAGCCGAGAGCATGCAGGAGAGAACACGCACAAGGACAACGTTGACCTCCAAGTGCAGCCGCCTGAGTGAAAATTTCTCTAGCGGTTTCCTGGCATTTGTGGACTTTGCGTTCCCCTGATGTGTTGGCATGCTCTGGCGAGAAGACAAGGTGGTCCCACAGTGGCTCCACAGGTGGTGAATAGGCTGAAGCGGACCAACAAATAGGTCTTTTACTTGACCAAGAACAGCAAGACCCATGCCAGGTACTGCAACAAGCTTGGACTCTTGGGGTTCTTCACCAAACTTGGGAAAGGTTTTTAGAATAGATTCAGAATGGTCCCTACCAAGTAGGCTGTATGAGGTTCATGAAAAGGAAAGTGGTTCTAAAGCCTTAAGATTTTTCTTCCCTTCCATGCATTAAGGTAAAAACACCATCTGTGTCCAGGTTCCCCTTTCCAGTCCCCACTTATACTTACCTGATCTTGATCCAGCGCTGTGCACGAGAGCATTGGCTCTTTCCCCCTCCTCACAAGGGAGCTTGATAGAAACTGCAGCCATTGTGTCCTGCTGCTGTCAATCAAATCCTATGAATGGGGAGGGGGGGGGGGCGGGGGGCAAAATCCTGTTAGTATTATACCTGGGTAAATTCCCTGCACCCCTTCGGTGCCTGCATATGTCTCCATGCTTTAAACCCTGTACCTTCCTCCCCCCCTTTAAATCCCAGCAACCTCCTCCCACTTCAAAACCCTGCACCTTCCTCCACCATTCCAATCCCTACACCTGCACTGTCCTCTACCTTTTTTTTTCTCTACCCCCTTTCGAACCTTGTGCCCTCCTCCCCCTTTCAATACTTACAATGAGCCTCCGTCGTTGGTTCAGTGATCCTTGTCTGCTATAGCGGATGAGATGAAGAATTCTCTCGCCCTTTATATGGCTTCTACCCGATTTCCTTTAGCGCTCTCTCTGCCACACAGAGGCTGCCCTTCCTTCGCAGTAGAGATGGGCTTGGGGCGTCTTCCAAACTCATCTTTAACTCACACTTCCCACCTTTTTGCACTCCAATGAGCTGAAGGGTGGGGAACATCCCAGTCGACAGATCACTGGAGTTGGAAAAAAAGTAGCAGTTTGGAATTTGGAGATGAGTTTGGAGAACACCTGAGCTCATCAACACTGGGCAGTAGAAACGTAAGCCAATAACACTTGGCATGGACGGCCATAAGCTCACCTGAGCCTCCAAAGTGCGGACCTGGCCGGTCAGGGTCTTGCAGTTCTGCTCGGCCTCCTTAGTTTGAAGCAGAGATAGCTGAAGCTCTTTGTTGATCCGTTCCGACTCCTTCTTGAGCTCCTCGTTCTCCTTGTGGAGATGCTCCTGATCCCGGGTTGTGGCCTGCAGCTTGTCGCTCAGTTCTTGGTTCTGCTGTTTCTTGGAATCATAGTGTACCTTGGCTTTTTCCATCTGAGGATAGAAGCCGGAGTTACTTGACTGGAGGCTAGAGTCAATTTTAACTTGACCAGCCAGCTATGGGTATGGGAGCATCCTTCGCTCATTCAACATAGACACACACCAACAGACACAGAGAATAGGAACTTCAGTCACCCCGACTGGCCAAATTAATAAATACAAAATGAACAGGAAAGCAGAAAAGAATAGCTCCACTGGAGTGCACCATACTATATAGAGCAGGGGTGGGAAACTGTGGCCCTCCAGCTGTTTGTGAACTACAAGTCCCATCATGCCTCTGCCTTTGGGAGTCATGCTTGTAACTGTCAGTTTTGCAATGCCTCATGAGACTTGTAGTTCTACAAACAGCTGGAGGGCCACAGTGCGCCCCCACTGATATAGAGTATTCAAAGACACCCATGTTTGTCAATAAGGAACTTACCTGGGCTTTGTAGTGCTCCACAGCCTCAGTCTGTTGCTTCAGCTCTTTCTCTAGCTCCACTAACCTCTTCTGCTTCTTCTCCACCTCCTCATGAGCATCGCTGTCCTTCTGCTCGAAAGAACACATAGAAGTCAAACAATATATGCCATGAAAAAGACAGATCCCCTGATATGGTATTTCTGTTATGGGTGGATGAAGGCAGCCTTCCCAGATTAGCCTGCCCCAGCAGGCCGGGAATTGCTGGAGACTCTGAAATGACTGGATGTTGGCCTAAACAACTCAACCCACAGCTGAAATTTCAGGGATAAACTGACCACATAAAAGTGAAAAGGGGCAGGAATACGGGGGTACGATTACTTTAAGTTTCGTAGCATTGCGGTCAGTTAGAGATGATCTCTACATCATACCTTAAGCTTCTGTTGCTGGCTCCGAATGGTCTTCTCCTGCTGGCTTATCTGTTTGTTCAGCTCCTGAACCTGTAATATGACAACCCTGGGTCATATCATACAAATCCTGGGAGCAGGCCACACACACACAATGAGACAGGACAGGGTGGTTTCAGAGCAAAGAAGTCTACTCATGCCAGGAGCAGGTATCACAAAATCTGTAGGAGCTCACACCAGAAAGGAAACTAGTTGGTCATTTTAACATCCACTGAGGTGCACAGCAAGTCATACCAAGTACACATCTCCTCTCCTCAGGATGGCCATTCTCCCAGTTACAGGAGGTGTAGCATGACCATTCTCCCACTTACAGGAGGCGTTGGATGACTATTTCCCCCACTAACAGGAGGCATTGGATGACCATTCTCCCACTTACAGGAGGCATTGGATGACCATTCCCCCCACTTACAGGAGGCATAGGATGACCATTCTCCCACTAACAGGAGGCGCTGGATGACCATTCTCCCACTTACAGGAGGCGTAGGATGGCCATGCTCCCAGTTAATGGAGGCGTAGGATGACCATTATCTCCTACTTACAGGAGGTGTTGGATGACTATTCTCCCACTTACAGGAGGCGTAGGATGACTATTCTCCCACCTACAGGAGGCGTAGGATGACTATTCTCCCACCTACAGGAGGCGTAGGATGACTATTCTCCCCACCTACAGGAGGCGTAGGATGACTATTCTCCCACTTACAGGAGGCGTAGGATGGCCATGCTCCCAGTTAATGGAGGCGTAGGATGGCCATGCTCCCAGTTAATGGAGGCGTAGGATGGCCATGCTCCCAGTTAATGGAGGCGTAGGATGGCCATGCTCCCAGTTAATGGAGGCGTAGGATGGCCATGCTCCCAGTTAATGGAGGCGTAGGATGGCCATGCTCCCAGTTAATGGAGGCGTAGGATGGCCATGCTCCCAGTTAATGGAGGCGTAGGATGGCCATGCTCCCAGTTAATGGAGGCGTAGGATGGCCATGCTCCCAGTTAATGGAGGCGTAGGATGGCCATGCTCCCAGTTAATGGAGGCGTAGGATGGCCATGCTCCCAGTTAATGGAGGCGTAGGATGGCCATGCTCCCAGTTAATGGAGGCGTAGGATGGCCATGCTCCCAGTTAATGGAGGCGTAGGATGGCCATGCTCCCAGTTAAAGGAGGCATAGGATGGCCATGCTCCCAGTTAAAGGAGGCATTGGATGACCATTCTCCCACTTACAGGAGGCATTGGATGACCATTCTCCCACTTACAGGAGGCGTTGGATAACCATTTCCCCCACTAACAGGAGGCATTGGATGACCATTCTCCCACTTACAGGAGGCATTGGATGACCATTCCCCCCACTTACAGGAGGCATAGGATGACCATTCTCCCACTAACAGGAGGCACTGGATGACCATTGTCCCACTTACAGGAGGCGTAGGATGGCCATGCTCCCAGTTAATGGAGGCGTAGGATGACCATTTTCTCCTACTTACAGGAGGTGTTGGATGACTATTCTCCCACCTACAGGAGGCGTAGGATGACTATTCTCCCACCTACAGGAGGCGTAGGATGACTATTCTCCCACATACAGGAGGCGTAGGATGACCATCTCCCAGTTAATGGAGGCGTAGGATGGCCATGCTTCCAGTTAATGGAGGCGTAGGATGGCCATGCTCCCAGTTAATGGAGGCGTAGGATGGCCATGCTCCCAGTTAATGGAGGCGTAGGATGGCCATGCTCCCAGTTAATGGAGGCGTAGGATGGCCATGCTCCCAGTTAATGGAGGCATAGGATGGCCATGCTCCCAGTTAAAGGAGGCATAGGATGGCCATGCTCCCAGTTAAAGGAGGCATAGGATGGCCATGCTCCCAGTTAAAGGAGGCATAGGATGGCCATGCTCCCAGTTAAAGGAGGCATAGGATGGCCATGCTCCCAGTTAAAGGAGGCATAGGATGGCCATTCTCCCAGCTAATGGAGGCACATGATGGTCATTCTACCAATTAAAGGAGGCACAGGATGGCCATGCTCCCAGTTAATGGAGGCACAGGATGGCCATTCTCCCAGTTAATGGAGGCACAGGATGGCCATTCTCCCAGTTAATGGAGGCACAGGATGGCCATTCTCCCAGTTAATGGAGGCACAGGATGGCCATGCTCCCAGTTAATGGAGGCGTAGGATGGCCATGCTCCCAGTTAAAGGAGGCATAGGATGGCCATGCTCCCAGTTAAAGGAGGCATAGGATGGCCATGCTCCCAGTTAAAGGAGGCATAGGATGGCCATGCTCCCAGTTAAAGGAGGCATTGGATGGCCATTCTCCCACTTACAGGAGGCATTGGATGACCATTCTCCCACTTACAGGAGGCGTTGGATAACCATTTCCCCCACTAACAGGAGGCATTGGATGACCATTCTCCCACTTACAGGAGGCATTGGATGACCATTCCCCCCACTTACAGGAGGCATAGGATGACCATTCTCCCACTAACAGGAGGCACTGGATGACCATTGTCCCACTTACAGGAGGCGTAGGATGGCCATGCTCCCAGTTAATGGAGGCGTAGGATGACCATTTTCTCCTACTTACAGGAGGTGTTGGATGACTATTCTCCCACCTACAGGAGGCGTAGGATGGACTATTCTTCCACCTACAGGAGGCGTAGGATGACTATTCTATTCCCACCTACAGGAGGCGTAGGATGACTATTCTCCCACCTACAGGAGGCGTAGGATGACTATTCTCCCCCACCTACAGGAGGCGTAGGATGGACTATTCTCCCACTTACAGGAGGCGTCCCATGCTCCCAGTTAATGGAGGCGTAGGATGGCCATGCTTCCAGTTAATGGAGGCGTAGGATGGCCATGCTCCCAGTTAATGGAGGCGTAGGATGGCCATGCTCCCAGTTAATGGAGGCGTAGGATGGCCATGCTCCCAGTTAATGGAGGCGTAGGATGGCCATGCTCCCAGTTAATGGAGGCATAGGATGGCCATGCTCCCAGTTAAAGGAGGCATAGGATGGCCATGCTCCCAGTTAAAGGAGGCATAGGATGGCCATGCTCCCAGTTAAAGGAGGCATAGGGATGGCCATGCTCCCAGTTAAAGGAGGCATAGAGGGCCATTCTCCCAGGCCATTCTCCCAGCTATGGAGGCACATGATGGCCATTCTACCAGTTAAAGGAGGCACAGGATGGCCAGGTTAATGGAGGCACAGGATGGCCATTCTCCCAGTTAATGGAGGACAGGATGGCCATTCTCCCAGTTAATGGAGGCACAGGATGGCCATTCTCCCAGTTAATGGAGGAAGGATGGGCCATTCTCCCACTTACAGGAGGCGTTGGATGACCGTTCTCCCAGTTAAAGGAAATGTAGGATGGTCATTCTCCCAGTTATAGGAGACATAGGATGGTCATTCTCCCACTTACAGGAGGCGTTGGATGACCGTCACTCTCCCAGTTATAGGAAATGTAGGATGGCCATTCTCCCAGTTAAAGGAAATGTAGGATAGTCACTCTCCCAGTTAAGGAAATGTAGGATGGTCATTCTCCCACTTAAAGGAAACCGTAGGATGGCCATTCTTCTAGTTAAAGGAGGCATAGGATGACCTTTCTCCTGGTTAGAGATGTAGTATGCCCTTTCTTCTGGTTAGAGAAGATCCTGACATGAGTAAACCTCCTTCAGATTATACATGCAGCACAGAGAGTCAAAATCGGAGCAAAGCAAAGATTAGGTTCATGCACAGAGATTTAACTCATCATAGCACAGAGGTTAATAATTAGGATTTGGGATAAAGGGGAAACGTCCAACACACCACTAACTGTCCTGTGCTCCCCTCCGGGACACCCACACCAAATGACACTCAAAAGACAGTAACATGCTATGCTGCCATTTTCATTGAAAACTGTTTGCAGGTTTCATGCAAGCTCTTCTCTCCCTATTACATTATAATTTCATAGACAACCATGCCAGTATGGAAGGAAGAGTCTGGAAGGGAGATGGGGATGGGTAAGGGAAGGCTAAATATGAGGGAGAAAAGAGGGTCAGGCTTTAAGGACATATTTTTAATAACATGCCCCACCCCTTCTTACGCGCCTGTCCTAGGACCTCAAAAGGATCTCAAAATCACCACCAATCTGGCGAAATGTAATGTCACGCAACTTCTGATGAGAGCTCCCCGGGGCAAGACAGTGGGGTCCCCATTGGGGAAAATTACCCCCAATGCTTGTTATGTGTGATGTCCATTGAACAGCCAGATGGGGAAGTTCCTCAAATGGGGACACACACAGCAATAAAAGCTGAAATGGCTTAATGGCTGATTTTTGCGTAGAAATGCCCTTAAATAAGCTTTCACTCTCGGTGAAAATGCTGCTCCTTTTTCTTCTCTACAGTGCTCTGTACTGGCAGAGTTGAGTGATAGGAGAGAAAGGTCACCGGAACACCAAGGATCTCCAACGTGGGTCCGGAAAGGTTTTAATGAAGGTTTACATAGTTACGGCAAGGCAACGTTTCAGAGTCTTGAGGACCCCTTCATCAGGGATGTGGTCACATGCCTGATGAAGGGGTCCTGCGAGACTCTGAAAAGTTGCCCTGCTGTAACTATGTAAAGCCTTTTCGGACCCATGTTGGAGATTCTTGGTGTGCCGGTGACGTCTCTCCGTTGCTTGGTTCCAGCCGATGATCGCTGCAGCACCCACCCATGCATACGGCCGTTTCTTGCAGGAAAGTGTGCGTTGGGATTGTAAATTTTCAGAGTTGAATAATAGACACACCCGTCATGTACTGCAGAGGAAGAGAGGGGGGGCGTGTCCAAACCAGCTCTGTTACTGAATGCTGATTACTGAGAGCACTGGGTCTAACTCTGGAGTCAGAATGCCTGACTGTATTTTTTTTTCTGTGGCTGAACGGTCACCAGCAATTCCTGGTCTAGTTATGATCGCAAGTTGGAGCTCCCAATCATGTGACCACTGTGGCAGCCAAGTGGTCTTGTGATCTGGAAATAGTTCCCCAATTAAATGGCCATGGCGGGCGGAAAGGGGTTAATGACTATAGGACTCGGACTTAACTGGCAGTGTGCCATCCTATAGAAAGGTAGAACTTCCTTAAAAACTTTCCCTCCCGGGGCGAAGATCGTTTAACCAACTGGCTGGTATAGGACAGAAACAGTCTGTGCAGTACAGAGCTGATTGGGTCAGGGTCACTTAGCGCATTGTATTCCAAGCGACAGCCAATCGCCAGAGCATCGCTCTGCTGGAACAAAATTAGGAGGAATCACAGGGAGATCACCGATGCTTCGGAAGCAGATAATGGCAAAGGAATGAAAACGTTTTCTAACCTGTTGTCTGGCACGGAAGCTTTAAATAGAGAGTTGGAAGACAGTATTAATCTACAACTGCATGAGGAACCGAAAACGGTACGTCAACCTCACGCCCGTACGAGATCCCGCCGCTCTGCCGCGGCCCTTTTGGCAAACAGTTCCCAAGGAAAACTGCGGAGCCCAGAGACGGCGCTGTGCAAAGCGCGTAGGTTAGCGGCATGCACCATCACCGTTTAAGGAGTTGGAGCCGAGAGTCGCTTATGCTTGTTACCTGCTCCGTTTGGTCCTTTTTCATGGCTTCCAACTCTTCCACCTGCGAGACGCGGTACAGGGAACGGGAAAAAAGGTTAAAACATGCGAATGACTCCGTAAAACTACAAATACCTGATGCTGGCAACCTAAAGCTAGCCACGCACTTTACAACCTATCTGTACCGAGTCACCTAAAACTATAGAGTGATTTCAATGCTGGCGAGACGCCATCGCCGACATCAAAGCTGGGAGACGCCATCGCCGACATCAATGCTGGCGAGACGCCATCGCCGACATCAAAGCTGGGGAGACGCGCATCGCCGACATCAATGCTGGGAGACGCCATCGCCGACATCAATGCTGGCGAGACGCCATCGCGCCATCGCCGACATCAATGCTGGCGAGACGCCATCGCCGACATCAATGCTGGCGAGACGCCATCGCCGACATCAAAGCTGGCGAGACGCCATCGCCGACATCAAAGCTGGCGAGACGCCATCGCCGACATCAACGCCATCGCCGACATGGCGGCGAGACGCCATCCATCGCCGACATCAATGCTGGCGAGACGCCATCGCCGACATCAATGCTGGCGAGACGCCATCGCCGACATCAATGCTGGCGAGACGCCATCGCCGACATCAATGCTGGCGAGACGCCATCGCCGACATCAATGCTGGCGAGACGCCATCGCCGACATCAATGCTGGCGAGACGCCATCGCCGACATCACATCAATGCTGGCGAGACGCCATCGCCGACATCAATGCTGGCGAGACGCCATCGCCGACATCAATGCTGGCGAGACGCCATCGCCGACATCAATGCTGGCGAGACGCCATCGCCGACATCAATGCTGGCGAGACGCCATCGCCGACATCAATGCTGGCGAGACGCCATCGCGCCGACATCAATGCTGGCGAGACGCCATCGCCGATCGCCGACATCAATGCTGGCGAGACGCCATCGCCGACATCAATGCTGGCGAGACGCCATCGCCGACATCAATGCTGGCGAGACGCCATCGCCGACATCAATGCTGGCGAGACGCCATCGCCGATCAATGCTGGCGAGACGCCACATCGCCGAGACATCGCCGACATCAAGCTGGGAGACGCCATCGCCGACATCAAAGCCGACGCCATCAAATGCTGGCGAGACGCCATCGCCGATCGCCGACATCAATGCTGCCGACACCAAGCGGGAGACGCCATCGCCGACATCAAAGCTGGAGACGCCATCGCCGACATCAATGCTGGCGAGACGCCATCGCCGACATCAATGCTGGCGACGACGCCATCGCCGACATCAATGCTGGCGAGACGCCACGCCATCGCCGACATCAATGCTGGCGAGACGCCATCGCCGACATCAATGCTGGCGAGACGCCATCGCCGACATCAATGCTGGCGAGACGCCATCGCCGACATCAATGCTGGCGAGACGCCATCGCCGACATCAATGCTGGCGAGACGCCATCGCCGACATCAATGCTGGCGAGACGCCATCGCCGACATCAAAAGCTGGGAGACGCCATCGCCGACATCAATGCTGGCGAGACGCCATCGCCGACATCAATGCTGGCGAGACGCCATCGCCGACATCAATGCTGGCGAGACGCCATCGCCGACATCAATGCTGGCGAGACGCCATCGCCGACATCAATGCTGGCGAGACGCCATCGCCGACATCAATGCTGGCGAGACGCCATCGCCGACATCAATGCTGGCGAGACGCCATCGCCGACATCAATGCCGACATCAATGCTGGCGAGACGCCATCGCCGACATCAATGCTGGCGAGACGCCATCGCCGACATCAATCGCCATCGCCGACATCAATGCTGGACGCGAGACGAGACCCATCGCCGACATCAATGCTGGCGAGACGCCATCGCCGACATCAAGGCTGGGAGACGCCATCGCCGACACCAAGGCCGGGAGACGCCATCGCCGACACCAAGGCCGGGAGACGCCATCGCCGACACCAAGGCCGGGAGACGCCATCGCCGACACAAGGCCGGGAGACGCCATCGCCGACACAAGGCTGGCGAGACGCCATCGCCGACATCAATGCGGGAGACGCCATCGCCGACACCAAGGCCGGGAGACGCCATCGCCGACAATGCCATCGCCGACACCAAGGCCGGGAGACGCCATCGCCGACACCAAGGCCGGGAAGAGACGCCATCGCCGACACCAAGGCCGGGAGACGCCATCGCCGACACCAAGGCCGGGAGACGCCATCGCCGACACCAAGGCCGGGAGACGCCATCGCCGACACCAAGGCCGGGAGACGCCATCGCCGACACCAAGGCCGGGAGACGCCATCGCCGACACCAAGGCCGGGAGACGCCATCGCCGACACCAAGGCCGGGAGACGCCATCGCCGACATCAATGCTACGGTGCTGCGTTATTTCAACTGACAATTGCGCGGTCTTCCCTGCAAATACAGCTTTCTTTTGGTGGCATTTGATCGCCTGTGAATTTTTTGCGCTGTAAACAACAAAAAAAAAAAAAAAAAAGACCGACAATTTTGAGGAAAAAAAAAAAAAACCCACAATATTTTTAACTTTTTTGCTATTAAACATGTCCAGTAAAAAAAAAAAAAAAAAAATCAAATTTAATCATAAATTTAGGCCAAAATGTATTCTGCTCCATGTCTTTGCTAAAAGAAAATCCCAATACGTATAAAATTGGTTTGCGTGAAAGTTAGTGTCTACAAATAGCGGTATATATACTGAATTTTTTTTTTATTATAATAGTAATGGCGGCGATCAGCGACTTTTAGCGGGACCATGGCGGGCATTCTGACACGGGGAAAACTGACACTGACATCTCAATGACACGAATACAGTGATCAGTGCTAATAAAAAGCACTGACACTGTACTAATGACACTGGGCAGGAAGGGGTTAACATCTGGGGCGATCAAAAGGTTAACTGTGTGCAGTGTTTTGTTTTACTTTGGAGATATGCTGCTTTGTATCTCTGCAGAGCTGCAAAGCAGCATGTCCTTGCTGACAGGAGAGAGACCTGTGTTGTTCACACACAAGTATCTCCCCGACAATTGCCAGTTGGTGGTGAGGAATCTCCGGCCGGGGGACCCGGTGAATGGCATCCCTAGCCGCCAATGGCGGTGAGGGTAGGGCAGCGCGCGTGCGCTCCCTACCCAGAGATGGAAATCACCTATATGTACACGTGATTTTGCGCAGCCCTGCCACCCTGTAGCACGATTTCTGCTATAGGGCGGCGGGCAAGTGGTTAAAGGCGGGTGATTTTTTTTTTCTATACCCACTGAATCTCCTGTTGCAGTGACAACGATAACATTTTGGATTTCCCACCGCTGGGAAACCACAATAAAAGTACACGGGGGTGCTGTGACGTGGCCGTTGCAGCTTGCGCATATATTTGCAAACTAAACCCCTTGTTTTTAACACGAAAGGGTCAATTCGGTTTGTTGCAGGCTGGCAAGTGAGCTGGGAATTTCTTTCATTTTTTTGATGTGTTGCCCCCTTTCACGTGCTCCCCAACAGTTACAGGTTGGGGTGGTTGCCATTTGTTTGTACAGTTGGTAAATTGCTGCAGGGACACACTTAAGATACCTTCAGCTACCATTTTGCTTTTGCTGGCTGTCCAGTGCGCCCCTGTACCTTTAACCACTTCCCGTTCAGCCCCCATGTATATAAACGGCCGGACGGTGGCAGTGCAGGGTCGGGTGGTCGTTTATAAATGGCCTCCCAACCCCCTGCTTGTGCACGCTCCCAGGGAGTGTGCGCAGCACTGCGATCCGGTGCCCGCTGTGTCCTCCGGCCACAGTAGAACACAGATCATTGTACGGGACCTCTGTTTGAGGCCCCGATCATGTGATCACTGATTGGCCAATCAGTGATCACATGAACAGTGGTAAGCAAGATGTCACTTCTGACATCATTACTTACTACGTGTGAATGATCACAGAGATCATATGGTACAGGGCTATTCACAACAGCCTTGTACCATGTGACAGCTGTGACCAATCACAGCTCACACAGTATTTCTCAATGGCTGCAAGAATGCAGCCAGAGAGGAGAAATGATTGCTTTTACAGCCTTTATGGTTGTAAAAGCAATCAGTGTAAAAAAAAAAAAAAAATCTTCATCACCCCCCACAAGTAGTACAGTGTCACTATGGTGTCACTGTACTGCTAGGGTGACAGTATGTAAAAAAAAAAAAAAAAAAAAAATCTAAAAAAAATACAATAAAAATTTTAAAAAATTATAATTTTTGGTTATAAACTAATTTGGGTTTTTTTTTTTTTACTAAAATGACAACTGAATAAATTTTGGCGAAGATTTATGAAGAAAGATTATTTATTTGCAAAATTCTATAAGAAAAAACACTTTTAAAATTTCATTTATATAGCAAAAAAAAAATAAAAATCCCAGTGGTGAATAAATACCACCAAAATAAAGTTTTATCTGTCTCAAAAAAATGCTAAAAAATTCATATGGGTGCAGTGTTGCATCACCGCGCAATTGTCATTCAAAGTGTGATAGTGCTGAAAGCTGAAAACTGCCCTGGACAGGAAGGGGGTAGGAAGGTCCGACTTGAAGTGGTTAAAGAGGGTGGGCTCCCTTCCAGGCAAACCAGCCCTTGATCCATCCATTTCGTATATGTGCTCCAACTTGGGAGACCCTCAAAATGATAGAACGGTAGTACACTGGGGTGCTGTGATGTGGCTGCTGTTGCAGCTCATGCCCATATCTGAACATGTGCGCAAACTATACCCACGTGAACTATTAGACAGGGTCAAATTTGTTTTGTTGTAGGTTGGCTGGGCAAGTGAGCTGGGAATTTATGTTTTTGAAACTGCAATAAAAACCTGACATGGGTCCTAAAGCCTTCTCCTGTTCCATACTTTCCAAAACCATGGGCTACAGATACTCTAATTTTTACATAGGTTTTGCATGACTACCACATTTTAATTCTTTTATAGGCAGGAGGACCTTCTTAACGATGATGAATGTATTACCTGGGAAAACAGCTTCTGCTTTTCTTCTTGGAACTTCTGCCGTTCGTCCAAGACCTTAGACTTTGTGTGGTCATACTTGCTCGTCACAGCTTCCAGTTTTTGGCTGAGCTCATCGACTTGTTGCTTGCTTTCAGAAATGGTCTTTTCGTAGCTCTGTCGTAGCGACTCCGTCTCCTTGTCGTGCTTCTCTTTGATCTTCGACAAAACTCTGTCTCGGTCTTCTTGGTACTTTGATCGGAGGCCTGGGACAAGGACCTATTTTCAGCACGTAGCTGCTTGTTCTCATCCTGGAGCTTAGAGATCTTCGTGAGTTTATCATTGCTCTCTTTCTGAAGGGTTTCCAGAGTCACTTCCTTTTGGGATAACGACTCTTTTAAAGACAAGAGAGAGGCCACCTCCGCCTTGGTCTTTTCCAGCTCAGTCTTCAAACCCTCAGACATCTTTTGGTTCTTCAGCAGTTCCTCTTTGTACTGGCTTTCCCTTCGAGTTTGCTCGGTCTTCATCTCTTCATAGCTGCTTTTAAGGGATGTCAATTCCTCCAGCACATGTTGAGAGTTGGCGAGTTGTTGCTGAACAGCAGTCATTTCTTCTTCTTTCTTTGAAAATTTTTCCTGCCAAGTCTTAATATCCTGCTCAAGTTTCGCTACGGTTTTATCCTGGGAGGACAGTTTTTTCTGCAACCCTAAAACAGATGAACTTTGCTCGTTAGCTTCTTGTTTGTAGCTTGAAGACTCAGCCTTCAGGTTGTCAATGGCACTTTGTTTCTGAGTGAGTTCCTTTACGGATACTTCCAGCTTTTCTTGAACTAGCTTTAGCTGCTTTTCAAGACCACTGCTTTTGGTGGACTCTTGTTCAAGCAACCCTTTTGCCTCCAAAAAGTTCTTTTCATTGGTGGCAAGCTTACCAGTTATGTTCTTCAGCTCCTCTTGCATCATTTCCACCTGACTTGTCTTCTTCCCAATTTCTTCCTGTAGTTTTGATACTTGCTCTTTTGCTTTGGCTAGAGATTTCTCCTGATCTTTAGAAGATGACAAGATACGTGACACCAAGGCCGGGAGACGCCATCGCCGACACCAAGGCCGGGAGAGGCCTTCGCCGACACCAAGGCCGGGAGAGGCCTTCGCCGACACCAAGGCCGGGAGAGGCCATCGCCGACACCAAGGCCGGGAGAGGCCATCGCCGACACCAAGGCCGGGAGAGGCCATCGCCGACACCAAGGCCGGGAGAGGCCTTCGCCGACACCAAGGCCGGGAGAGGCCTTCGCCGACACCAAGGCCGGGAGAGGCCTTCGCCGACACCAAGGCCGGGAGAGGCCATCGCCGACACCAAGGCCGGGAGAGGCCATCGCCGACACCAAGGCCGGGAGAGGCCATCGCCGACACCAAGGCCGGGAGAGGCCATCGCCGACACCAAGGCCGGGAGAGGCCATCGCCGACACCAAGGCCGGCAGATGCCATCGCCGACACCAAGGCCGGCAGATGCCATCGCCGACACCAAGGCCGGGAGATGCCATCGCCGACACCAAGGCCGGGAGATGCCATCGCCGACACCAAGGCCGGGAGATGCCATCGCCGACACCAAGGCCGGGAGATGCCATCGCCGACACCAAGGCCGGGAGATGCCATCGCCGACACCAAGGCCGGGAGATGCCATCGCCGACACCAAGGCCGGGAGATGCCATCGCCGACACCAAGGCCGGGAGATGCCATCGCCGACACCAAGGCCGGGAGATGCCATCGCCGACACCCAGGCCGGGAGATGCCATCGCCGACACCAAGGCCGGGAGATGCCATCGCCGACATCAATGCTACGGTGCTGCGTTATTTCAACTGACAATTGCGCGGTCTTCCCTGCAAATACAGCTTTCTTTTGGTGGCATTTGATCGCCTGTGAATTTTTTGCGCTGTAAACAAAAAAAAAAAAAAAAAAAAGACCGACAATTTTGAGGAAAAAAAAAAAACCCACAATATTTTTTACTTTTTTGCTATTAAACATGTCCAGTAAAAAAAAAAAAAAATCAAATTTAATCATAAATTTAGGCCAAAATGTATTCTGCTCCATGTCTTTGCTAAAAGAAAATCCCAATACGTATAAAATTGGTTTGCGTGAAAGTTAGTGTCTACAAATGGCGGTATATATACTGAAATTTTTTTTTGTCTATTATAACAGTAATGGCGGCGATCAGCGACTTTTAGCGGGACCATGGCGGGCATTCTGACACGGGGAAAACTGACACTGACATCTCAATGACACGAATACAGTGATCAGTGCTAATAAAAAGCACTGACACTGTACTAATGACACTGGGCAGGAAGGGGTTAACATCTGGGGCGATCAAAGGGTTTACTGTGTGCGGTGTTTTTGTTTTACTTTGGAGATATGCTGCTTTGTATCTCTGCAGAGCTGCAAAGCAGCATGTCCTTGCTGACAGGAGAGAGACCTGTGTTGTTCACACACAAGTATCTCCCCGACAATTGCCAGTTGGTGGCGAGGAATCTCCGGCCGGGACCCGGTGAATGGCATCCCTAGCCGCCAATGGCGGTGAGGGTAGGGCAGCGCGCGTGCGCTCCCTACCCAGAGATGGAAATCACCTATATGTACACGTGATTTTGCGCAGCCCTGCCACCCTGTAGCACGATTTCTGATATAGGGCGGCGGGCAAGTGGTTAAAGGCGGGTGATTTTTTTTCTATACCCACTGAATCTCCTGTTGCAGTGACAACGATAACATTTTGGATTTCCCACCGCTGGGAAACCACAATAAAAGTACACGGGGGTGCTGTGACGGGGCCGCTGCAGCTTACGCATATATTTGCAAACTAAACCCCTTGTTTTTAACACGAAAGGGTCAATTCGGTTTGTTGCAGGCTGGCAAGTGAGCTGGGAATTTCTTTCATTTTTTGATATGCGTTGCCCCCTTTCACGTGCTCCCCAACAGTTACAGGTTGGGGTGGTTGCCATTTGTTTGTACAGTTGGTAAATTGCTGCAGGGACACACTTAAGATACCTTCAGCTACCATTTTGCTTTTGCTGGCTGTCCAGTGCGCCCCTGTACCTTTAACCACTTCCCGTTCAGCCCATGTATATAAACGGCCGGACGGTGGCAGTGCAGGGTCGGGTGGTCGTTTATAAATGGCCTCCCAACCCCCTGCTTGTGCACGCTCCCAGGGAGTGCGCAGCACTGCGATCCGGTGCCCGCTGTGTCCTCCGGCCACAGTAAACACAGATCATTGTACGGGACCTCTGTTTGAGGCCCCGATCATGTGATCACTGATTGGCCAATCAGTGATCACATGAACAGTGGTAAGCAAGATGTCACTTCTGACATCATTACTTACTACGTGTGAATGATCACAGAGATCATATGGTACAGGGCTATTCACAACAGCCTTGTACCATGTGACAAGCTGTGACCAATCACAGCTCACACAGTATTTCTCAATGGCTGCAAGAATGCAGCCAGAGAGGAGAAATGATTGCTTTTACAGCCTTTATGGTTGTAAAAGCAATCAGTGTAAAAAAAAAAAAAAAAATCTTCATCACCCCCCACAAGTAGTACAGTGTCACTATGGTGTCACTGTACTGCTAGGGTGACAGTATGTAAAAAAAAAAAAAAAAAAAAAAAAAAAAATCTAAAAAAATACAATAAAAATTTTAAAAAATTATAATTTTTGGTTATAAACTAATTTGGGTTTTTTTTTTTTACTAAAATGACAACTGAATAAATTTTGGCGAAGATTTATGAAGAAAGATTATTTATTTGCAAAATTCTATAAGAAAAACACTTTTAAAATTTCATTTATATAGCAAAAAAAAAATAAAAATCCCAGTGGTGAATAAATACCACCAAAATAAAGTTTTATCTGTCTCAAAAAAAATGCTAAAAAATTCATATGGGTGCAGTGTTGCATCACCCGCGCAATTGTCATTCAAAGTGTGATAGTGCTGAAAGCTGAAAACTGCCCTGGACAGGAAGGGACTTGAAGTGGTTAAAGAGGGGTGGGCTCCCTTCCAGGCAAACCAGCCCTTGATCCATCCATTTTCGTATATGTGCTCCAACTTGGGAGACCCTCAAAATGATAGAACGGTGGTACACTGGGGTGCTGTGATGTGGCTGCTGTTGCAGCTCATGCCCATATCTGAACATGTGCGCAAACTATACCCACGTGAACTATTAGACAGGGTCAAATTTGTTTTGTTGTAGGTTGGCTGGGCAAGTGAGCTGGGAATTTATGTTTTTGAAACCGCAATAAAAACCTGACATGGGTCCTAAAGCCTTCTCCTGTTCCATACTTTCCAAAACCATGGGCTACAGATACTCTAATTTTTACATAGGTTTTGCATGACTACCACATTTTAATTCTTTTATAGGCAGGAGGACCTTCTTAACGAATGAATGTATTACCTGGGAAAACAGCTTCTGCTTTTCTTCTTGGAACTTCTGCCGTTCGTCCAAGACCTTAGACTTTGTGTGGTCATACTTGCTCGTCACAGCTTCCAGTTTTTGGCTGAGCTCATCGACTTGTTGCTTGCTTTCAGAAATGGTCTTTTCGTAGCTCTGTCGTAGCGACTCCGTCTCCTTGTCGTGCTTCTCTTTGATCTTCGACAACTCTGTCTCGGTCTTCTTGGTACTTTGATCGGAGGCCTGGGACAAGGACCTATTTTCAGCACGTAGCTGCTTGTTCTCATCCTGGAGCTTAGAGATCTTCGTGAGTTTATCATTGCTCTCTTTCTGAAGGGTTTCCAGAGTCACTTCCTTTTGGGATAACGACTCTTTTAAAGACAAGAGAGAGGCCACCTCCGCCTTGGTCTTTTCCAGCTCAGTCTTCAAACCCTCAGACATCTTTTGGTTCTTCAGCAGTTCCTCTTTGTACTGGCTTTCCCTTCGAGTTTGCTCGGTCTTCATCTCTTCATAGCTGCTTTTAAGGGATGTCAATTCCTCCAGCACATGTTGAGAGTTGGCGAGTTGTTGCTGAACAGCAGTCATTTCTTCTTCTTTCTTTGAAAATTTTTCCTGCCAAGTCTTAATATCCTGCTCAAGTTTCGCTACGGTTTTATCCTGGGAGGACAGTTTTTTCTGCAACCCTAAAACAGATGAACTTTGCTCGTTAGCTTCTTGTTTGTAGCTTGAAGACTCAGCCTTCAGGTTGTCAATGGCACTTTGTTTCTGAGTGAGTTCCTTTACGGATACTTCCAGCTTTTCTTGAACTAGCTTTAGCTGCTTTAGCTGCTTTCAAGACCACTGCTTTTGGTGGACTCTCGTTCAAGCAACCCTTTTGCCTCCAAAAAGTTCTTTTCATTGGTGGCAAGCTTACCAGTTATGTTCTTCAGCTCCTCTTGCATCATTTCCACCTGACTTGTCTTCTTCCCAATTTCTTCCTGTAGTTTTGATACTTGCTCTTTTGCTTTGGCTAGAGATTTCTCCTGATCTTTAGAAGATGACAAGATACGTGACAGCTCCTTGCTTGATTCATTCAGAGTCTTTTGACTTTGCTCTAACTCCTGAACTTTGTGGAACAGCTCGATTTTTAAAGCTTCTAAAGAGGATTCTTTCTCAGTTTGCAGCGACTGAGACTCCTTTAGCTGTTTGGTGAGCTCACTTGTCTTCTGACGCTCCTGCTCAATCTCAGATTCCAAGGCCTGGAGAGCCCTTTGCCACTGTTCTGATGTGGATGCATTTTTGGAAGCTGCCAGCCTGGCCTCAGCTGCTTCTTTGTGAGCAAGGTTCATACGCAACTCCCTGTCTTGCAACATTCCCTCCAGATCTTTAACCCTACTCTCCAAAGAGTTTACCACATTTGCCAAAGCTTGGAGGTTTTCCCGGATTGAGGCATTTTCTTGAGTTTTCTCCTGGATATCGCGCCCCAGTCGCTGTATCTCATTCTCTTTTTCACTAATCGTTTCTTTCAGAGTCGTAATCTCAGACTCTGTGGCTTTTATGGTCTCTTTGAAATGTTTCACCTCTTCTTCATGCTTTCCAGCTTGTTCTTCAAATACTTTTAGCCTTGTTATCTCCTCATGGAGTTTGGTTGAAGATTGTTTTTCCAGCATTAATGCTTCATCCCTTGCAGCAACTTCCTTGGAAAGTCTCTCCAGTTCATTCTCCTTTGAGGTAATGAGGTCAAGAGAATGGGAGAGCTCGTTTTGAAGAGCTGAAAATTCACTTTTATGCACATCGGCAGATTTCTGTAGCTGAACCTCCGCTTCCAATTTATTGGTTTGCTCAGTTTTAAGATCTGCAATGGCTCTTTCCATCTCCTCACGCAACTGAGACACAGAATTGTCTTTTTCCTTCAGTTCCTGTTGGTGCTTCAGATTTGAATCCTCTAGCTCTTTCCTCAGTAGATCCAGCTGTGTGGAAAGAACTTTGGCTTCATTTTCCTGCTTTTTAAGAGTTGTTCCATATTAGTAATTTCAGATTCCAATGACCGAACTCTTTCAGATCTTTGCTTTTCGTGCTTTTTTAAAGTAGATTCCAGCTCTTCTTTTTTCTGCTTCTCTTCAGAAAGCTCTTTGGAGAGCAAAGCAAGATCTTGCACCGCACTTGTGCGACTCTTCTCTAGCTGTGAAATTCGTTCAGCTTCCTCCTCCTGAGCTAATCTAAGCTTCTTCTCTGCAGAATGAACTGACTGAAGCAGATTTTGCTCCTCAGTTTCTTTCTTCTTAAGTTGGGTTCTTGCAGCCGAAAGCTCAGATTCCAGGTGAGAGAACTTCCCCATTTGGGAAGACATGTCTGCCTTTGCTTTGGCCTCTATTTCCAACACTCTCGACTTTTCCATCTCCAGCTGCTGGCAGACGTCATTATAATCTTTTTTCAGTAATTCAATATGCTTCTCTACCTGGCTTGAGTTTTCAGCAATATCTTTCCATCTGTCCATTTCCTTGGTCACCTTTTCAACCTCTTCTTCTCTTTGTTTAATTATGTCAGAGGTTTTAGACAGCTTATGTTGCAATTTCTCACTATTTGCTCGGTGTTCCTCCTCCATTTGGCGAAGCTGGGATTTCAGTCTCTTGGTAGCTGCTTTCTCCTCTTCAAGCTCGGCGAATGTTTGAGCTCTACTCTCACTTAGTGACTTCAGATCTCCCTCAAGAATGGAATTCCTCTTCTTCTCACTCTCAAGCAAGGCTGAACGTTTTTTTCTCATTTTCCAAGAGCTCCTCTAAGTTTTTAACCATGTCTTCCAAGGACAACAACTTCTCTTTAATTTGGCTATTCTCTTCACTCATCAGCTCCATCCCAGTCAACGTTTGCTCACAGATTCGTAGCTGGGAGTCTTGCTCGGCAAGCTGCGTTTTTAGCGACTCCAAAACTGCTGTATGAGACTTGCTCTGGGCATCATTCTCTGTGTCGAGATGCTGGCATTTGGCTACCAAGCCTAAAATGGTGGCATCCAATTCCTCAACTTTTGACGTGAGCTCTGCTTTTTCTCTTTTCAGATTTTCCACCGATGCCAAACTTTGCTGATGGTCTTTTTTCAAAGACTGGCAGGTTTGGTTCAACGTCTGTAACTGTTCTTTTTTATCGCTTTTATAATCGCCGAATGCTTTAGAAGCAGAGTCTCTTTCCTCAGCAATTTGATTCCGTTCTTGTTCTAAACGTGTCATTTTTTGGGCAGCTTCATTCAGTTTTTCAGTGAGTTCCACTGATTTGACTTCAGAGATGTTCAAACGGCTGCTAAGATGGTCTACCTGACAACCGAGTTGTTCAATGTTTTTTCTTGAAGACTCCTCTTTTTTTCAAGGTGTCCAGCAGCTGCCCCCTCTCTCTTTTCTCCTCTTCTACTTCTTGCTGAAGAGACGAGAGCGTCGCGTCCTTCTGTGCCAGAGAAGACTTCAGCTTTGAGATCTCTAGTTTGAGCGTTGTTATCTGACACGTCAACCTCTCCTCCTGCAGCCTGGCTTCCTGATCCTGCTTCTCTTTCTGAAAGGTGATTTCGGAGAGAGAGGTCTGCAGATTGGTGACGATGTCTTGTAGCTGAAGCTTCTCTGATTCAAAGCGAGATTTTTGCAACTCTATCTCCGCTACTGCAGTCCTCTTCTCTTGTTCCAACTGTGTGATCTGAGTCTGAAGCTCCGTAGATTTGGAGTTTAGCGATGTGACCTCTTGCTGTAAATTTTCCAGCTGAAAAAAAAAATGCAAATCCATTTTAGAAAAAATCCCACTGTCATTAACACTCATAGGAACTGCAATCATTCAATATGGGTAAGCTATTATACTATCACTACTTCTGAAGGCATCTCAAAAACATCACTGGTAATAGGCGTTCTCAGCATCACAACGGCGAGTACAAAAATCCTATTTTACCTTCTTGGTCAACAAGGGACATAGAAAGTCTAACCTTTGGGATGTCCAACAGAAGTCCAGCTGAGGGTGGGCAATGCAGCAATCACGAATAGGTCCAAGAATACAAAAGAGAACTGGAGACTACCTGTGGTTCGAAGAGCCGTTTAACCACTTCCCGACCGGCCATTGCATATAAACGGCCGGGCGGTGGCAGTGCAGGGTCGGGTGGCCGTTTATGAACGGCCTCCCCGCACCCTGCTTGTGCGCGCTCCCTGGGAGCGCGCAGCACCGCGATCCGGTGCCCGCTGTGTCCTCCGGACACAGTGAAACACCGATTGTCGGACGGGACCTCTGTACGAGGTCCCGATCATGTGATCACTGATTGGCCAATCAGTGATCACATGCAAAGTAGTAAGCAAGATGTCACTTGTGACATCATTGCTTACTACGTGTGAAATCTGTGAATGATCACAGAGGTCACATGGTACAAGGCTATTCACAACAGCCTTGTAACATGTGACAAGCTGTGGCCAATCACAGCTCACTCAGTACTTCTCAATGAGTGCAACAATGCACACAGAGAGAAAGAGAAATGATTGCTTTTACATCCTATATGGGTGTAAAAGCAATCAGTGTAAAAAAAAAAATAAAAATCTTCATCACCCCCCACAAGTAATACAGTGTCACCATGGTGACACTGTACTGCTAGGGTGACAGTATGTAAAAAAATAAAAATAAATAAATAAAAAATAAGATAAAAAAATAAGATAAAAATGTAAAAAAAAATGTTTAAAAATTATAATTTTTGGTTCTAAACTAATTTGGCTTTTTTTTTTTTGTTACTAAAAAAATAATGGAATAAATTTTGGCAAAGATTTATGATGAAATCTTATTTATTTGCAACATTTTATAAAAAAAACACTTTTGTTCAAAATTTTTGGACTTTTTTTTCATTTACATAGCAAAAAAAATAAAAATCCCAGCGGTGAATAAATACCACCAAAATAAAGCTTTATCTGTCTCAAAAAAATGGTAAAAAATTAATTTGGGTACAGTGTTGCATGACTGCGCAATTGTCATTCAAAGTGTGATAGCGCTGAAAGCTGAAAATTGCCCTGGTCAGGAAGGGGGTAAAAGTGTCCGGTCTGGAAGTGGTTAAAGGACCTGACACGTGAAGATAGCATCAGATGAGGCAGAAACATTCCCCTGGCAAGACTTAAGAGAATGTGTGCATAGAAGACCAGATGGAAGCCTTGCAAATCTAGGAAACTTGCTTGGAGGTAAAAAAAAACCCCAAGAAGCACTCAGAGATCCAGTAGAGCGCGCCTTGGCAGGAAATTGTGGGACCCAATACTTGAGACCACAAGCTTGAATAGTGGCCTTCCTAAGTCAACTAGAGCATCCTTCTCCGGTCTTTCCTACATGACAAAAAGGAATATTTTTTTTGTGTGTGAAAGCAGCACAGATAAGAACTTTCAAACAATGGGAAAAACAGGATTGTTACGACCACTGTAAAATCCTTTTCTTGGAGATCATTAGGGAACACAGGGTTAATTCTGAGACAAAAAGGATTAAACTTCTGCCTACAGGAGGTTATTTAGCCGGCTATTTCCACTACCATTCCCATCATTCGCCAGTTTTATGGGAAAATAGTAGTAGGAGTGGATCGTAAAGTCAGAGGGGTAACTCCTATTGGGCAGCAAGAAATGGACAAAGAGCGGTCCAAAAGGACTTGACATCCAGAACTGGCATTAGAGGAGGCTTTAGTAGAAAGTAATGAACAAGTGAACAGAAGACCAACTGACAGTCTTGAAAATCTGAGGAACAGGTGCCTGATGCTGAAGGTCCAAGAGGCATTCGCAGATGTAGTTGAGTGCGCCTTGATTGGAAAGGCTGGAAACTTAGGCTCTGACTTAAGGCTTAGGCTTGAATGAGGAGCTGTCTGAACTATCTAGCACTAGTGGCACGAGAGGCAGGCTGTCCCCCTGCAGGAATCCTCAGAAAGGATGAAAAAGGGAGTATGTCCATCTGAAGGAAGCTATAGCTGTGAGAAACGCAACCAGCTTGTACCACATCAAAACAGAAGGAAATTTTCTTGGGGTGCACCATCACAGAACAGAAAGATGGAAGTAGTGTCCTGGTTAAGGTGAATGGGGAGACCACCCTTGGAAGAAAGGAGGCCCTAGGCATAGCGTCAGGGGTCTGTGACCCCACCCTTGCTCCAGGGGGCCCGGGTGGCCGCTGCAGATCCAGTAGAATGCTTCTGCACTGAACTTGCAGCCACTCTAACAGAAAGTTGGATCGCTCCCGCTGTGACTGCCCCAGGTAAGCAACAGACGTCTTTGTGGGACGCGTCCAATCAGCACTTTCTACTACTCTGTCATGGTTGCTTGTGGGGCTAGGTAGCATTGCTACTGCTCTGCAGTCCTTGCTGTGTACTCCAGGGAGCTGACAGGTTGGCAGAGGGTAATATGTACAGGAGTGGACATTGTGTACAGGGAGGAGGGGCAATATGTACAGGAGGGGGTAATACGTACAGGGAGAGGGGTGATGTGTACAGGGAGGGGGGCAATATGTACAGGAGGTGGCATAGAGTACGGGGGGGGGGGGGGGCAATATGTACAGAAAGGTGCATTGTGTAGAGGGAGGGCAATATGCACAGGAGGGGGGGGGGGGGGGCATTGTGTACAGGGGGGGGGGGGGGTGTGTACAGGGGGGGGGGGGGCAATATGTACAGAAAGGTTCATTGTGTAGAGGAGGAGGGCAATATGCACAGGAGGGGGGGGGCAATATGTACAGGAGGGGGCATTGTGTAGAGGGAGGGGGGCATTATACACAGGAGGGGGGCATGGTGTACAGGGTGGGGGGGCAATATGTACAGGTGTACAGGAGGGGGCATTGTGTACAGGGAGAGGGGTGATGTGTTCAGGGGCGCAGTGTGTACAAATAGGGGGGCAATGTGAGCAGGAGAGGGCAGTCCATAAAGAATATGGGGATGGGGGGTTTAACGTGCACAGGAGTAGTGCCTACAGGGACAGTCTTCTTTCATTGGTCGACTTCAGTATAACCAGCCTGTTAGATTTTTTTATAGCCACCAGCAGTGAGCATTGAGTCCTACCAGCCTGGAAGGCTCCCCTTCGGGCAGCAGAACACAATAGGTGTTTAGCATGACTGGCCTACACAGACTTCAGAGTCAGAGCTAATGCTGAGGCAACGGCTTTGGACCCAGAAAGTGCTCTGCAGCCAACTTTTGCCAGAACCTCTGTGACCAAGCCCCCTATGAGTGGGGCGAAGTGACGTCTGAGGCCATCCACATCACAGAGTCTTTACAGGACTCCTTGGGACGGGTATGTGACACGTCCATCCTCTTTCCCTGCACACTGCTTAGTTTCTGGTATAACTTGGGACGCTGCTCCCCTCTTCCCTGTCGGTGGGGTGATCATGCTT